ACAGTGTATCAACTCCGTGCTAGGAAGTGCTGTTCTCACTGCAGGATGCCCTGCTAGTTGTTTCCTTTCTTACCATCAGCTCGAGAAAGGGAGCCTAGTTATGTGATTTGCAGAAGACATGTGTGCTTTGCTTGTGTGTGTGTTTGTGTGTGTGCCAGTGGAAGATGTTTGGTGTCCAGCCGTATTACTTTCTACTGTATCCCTTTGAGACAGGGCCTCTCACTGAATCTGGGGCTTGCCAGTTTTTAGGTAGGCTGGCTGGCCAGCAGTTACCACAATCCTGTTTCCACCGGCCCTACCACACCTGTGTGTGGTTATAGGCATGTGTAGCCATGCGTTACCCAGCAAGCCATCCTCTTAACACTTTAAATGTTCATTTTTATAAATCCCCCCAAAACTGGCAGTCAGCTAATGCTCACATTGATACCCGAGTGATGGTTCTCCCGTGGGATGCTCTGAACAGGGCATTTGCTTATTGGTTTTGACTTCGCAAACTTTGCTTTCCTGTGTGTTAATAGGATCACAGGAGATGCAGGGCAGTGAACATGCTTAGAAGCTCTTGTTGAATGGTTGCTGTGCCTGTACATATAGGGCGCCTCATGTTTCCCAGGAGCTAATTTCCATTCTGCATATGAAGGTATGGGTTGTTAGCTGTCAAGGTGTCCATAGAAGTTTTCATTTGGCTGGTGAGTTTTCAATGTGTGGCTTGAGAGAGCATCTGAATCATCCTAACGAAGCAGTATCTGCTAAAGCCATCTTTACTTGACTTGGCTACACAGTTACTAAGTGTTTGCCCTGCAAATGTTGTAGCAATAATCAGAAGTTCACAGCTAGGTTAGCCATTTCTGAGGAATTTGGGAGACCTGGGCGCCAACACCTCACAGAGCTTCTTGTTTGTAACTAGGGTGGGAAGGTAAATAAATGCGGGAAGAAAGAAGACTTAGTAGTGATGGTTCTGACATTCAGAGGTAGCCAGCAGAGCTGTGTTTTCTTCCCAGAAGTCCTGGCTGTAGTGTGGATTGTGAAGTATTCCTGAGATACTTGGAATGTGCTGGGAACTCCCACCATCTGTCAGAGGGAGGCATGTAGGGTATTTATTTGAACACACGATGCTGAGGTTCCTGCCAGATTGAAGACATGATGCCCTGTGACTACACACCTAAATGAACACTGTCTAATGTAGGGTCCAATACTTTTACTTTTATTGGTCTGCCATACGTAAATATGAGCTTGATTTTAATATTTTAATTGAACAATTAAAATATTGTTAATTAAAGTTTTAAATTAAAATTTAAAAAGTTTTATTCTTATTTTCTCATCATTCTTAGAAGCAATTTTCATGAAATTGATAGCAGAGAAGCTTATTTGTTTGTTTGGACAGGATTCTGTATGTAGTCTTAGCTGTCCTGAACTGGCTTTGTAGACCAAGCTGGCCTTGAACTCACAGCAATCTGCCTGCCTCTGCCTTCTCTGAGTGCTGGAATTAAAGGCATGCACCACCATGCCTGGCTTAGCAGAGAAGTTTTTTGAGCCTGAAAGTTTTCTTGTAATGAGTTAGTAATGATCCCTGTTTTTTGAGCATCTCACTGTTTTGTAGACTCTTGTGGGTTTGGAAAGCTTGTCTGTCAAGTTCCTCCTTTTCTTTTTAGATGTAGAACAATAGCGGCACCCTCAGCCTTTGCAGTTCCCCAAGAGCTAACATCAACCGTCATGAAATATATCTGAAACACTTAAAGTTATTTTAATAAAAACACTGAGAGCCACCTGTGATATTCTCACCACCAACAGACTCTTTCCAGTAGTAGTGCCATTTCCGTTGATCGTGACGACTGGAGTTTTGTGGGGGCCGTGAGAGCTCACATTGCTTTTGGTGTTTGATTACTTGGTAGTATAGCTTATTAGATATTTGGTCATCTCTGTGTAAAAGTGTGCCCGTCTAAGCCAAGTCCTCCAATACAAGACTGTCTTGTTTGCCTCCTTTCCTGGGCAATGAAGCTGAAGTAGAGAGAGATTATAAACAATTAATGAAGTAAGAAGCACTGTCTCAAAGCTCCCAATGATCCACCTCACCCAGATTCACATTTTTTCCTCTTTATGTAAACACAAGACCAAAGGGGAAGATTTGGGTGCCAGTAAGATGTGAGAGGAGGAGGAGGAAGAGAAGGAGGAAGAGGAGGAGGAGAGGGATGCTGTGTTAAGCTCAGGGACTTGATACCATGGGCATTTCTTGGGAGACAGCATCTTCCTCACTGGGAATAAATATTCTGTTTTACCTTGTTGTAAGAATCCCCACAACTCTGAGCACTAGAGGATCATGGCTTCATAGATGCCATCACCAAGAGTATATGAAATGCCCAAGAGTGGGTATACAGGATGGCAGAGGGAATACAGAGCGGATGCAAACGAGCCTGAGGGATCTCTGTGGATTGGTAGAAAGGTTCTAAAATTAGATGGTGGCGATGGCTGTGCGACTCTACATAAAATCGTTGACTCATGTGCTTAAGATGAGTGAGAGTTACAGTTTGCAGATTATACCTTAATGAACTAATAAAAATACCTGAGGTTTGTGATATCGCTGAAGGAGCCCCCTTATCCTCTCAGCTGGATAGGTGCTACAGGACTCGGAAATGCAGCATCAAATCTGAAGGGTTTCTCACCTATGAGCAGAGCGGGGAAGGTGTGGGGGAGAGGTTGGACCGATGCAGGCAGGCTAGACAAGCCACCAGGACAGGGCTGCTGTCACCAAAATGAGCAAAATGGTGCCATGTCGGTGGTTATGACAGTCCAGCTAAGTTCTAAGCGAAGGTACATCCCTCTGCAGAGCTCGAAGGCTCGCTGCCCGAATTGCCGCAACTTCTTCATTGGTTTGAGAGCAATATGTCATAGTTAGAAATCTTACTTTTAAATCAGCCCTTACAGTCTGTCTTTTACATGGTGTGATCAAATGTACTACAAGACTTGGGTTTATCTAGTAAATCTCACCGCATCACGTCAGCATGGCTAATGTACAAATTGGTTACCAACTAGTTTTCTAGTGACTATCATTTACTAATATGCAGAAAACATTTACTTTGACATTTTAGAATTTTGACCCCCGTTGTGTGTGTGTGTGTGTGTGTGTGTGTGTGTGTGTGTGTGTGCAAGGCTCTGCTGATTTGTGTTGCTGAGAGGAGATAAAGCTGCAAGGCCTCCCTTAGTAAGGGGCGTGCAGGAAACAATTGACACTGTTTCTTAATTCACATTGTTTCTGAGACATTTCCTACTTCCTAGTATAATATAGCTTTCCCATGAGAACAATTTGCTTGCAAATGGGTTAGACATGATAAATTTCTCATTGGCACGCGTCCTGTGGGGAGGTTGTTCTCTGTGCTTTTGGAGTAAGCTGCTGTTGTGAGTGTTGGGGTAGGGTTCCTCTTCCTGGGAAGGTGCTCCAAGTTGGTTCTGAACGTCAGCTTTCTGCGACAGACTACCCTTGAGAGTTCTGTCTCCCACAGTTGAAGCAGCGTCTGATTCATTTAAACTGTCAATTCAAAGAAAATCTTGTGAATTATGGTGTTTTTAGGGGTGTCTGGTGAGTTCCATGGAAAGTAGTTCACAGCAATCGATACTCAGGAGGCTGAGCTACACAGCAGTATGTGATATTATCTCTGGGACCGTAAAGCACCTTCAAAGACTCATTCTAGAGATGGGAAATGAAGCGCTTAGGTGAGAGAGCCTAATCTAATTTGCAATAAAAGAATGTTCAAATTGCTGCGGAAATGATGGTTCCCGCACTCAGAAGCTACGCTGTATATGAAGTGAAAGCGAAAGTTTTTCAATTAAAAAAAAAAAAAAGATGTGGAACTTTGGGTTTCTTTTCCATCTTGTCAGATTTTGTAAAATGATATCTTGTCAGTCTCGCAGCGCCTTCCCTCCGGAGGCCTAGAAGCAGTTAGGTCTGTTTTTTTCTCGTGTCCTTCTCTTAAGGCAGTTTTTTTTTTTTTTTTGCTGGCCCGAGTCTTATTTTTATCGTCGCAACAACCAGTTTTTAGAAACTTTTGGAAATGAAAAAAGCAAAATGAGAATGGCGCTGTAGCTGACATTCGTTTTAGCGTTTCCTAGCGTGAACATTTGAGTACTTCTAAAATCTTCTCTCCAAGTGTGTCTTATTTTTTCCAGTCTGTCCCAGTTCTCCATCTCTGTTCTGCTGATTGGATTAAAAAAAAAAAAAAGTTACAGTGTAAAACCTTGTCCCCAGCAGAATGACTTTTTGAACTTTTGATCTTTATTTTTGCAGCTCAGAGGCTTCTTTCCCTTCATTCTAGTCAATACAATCACAGGTTGTGAAGAACTAGAACAGGGCAGAGCCCTAGGGCTTGCCCACCTGAAGCTCCTCGTTGTATAAATGGCCGACGCTCTGAGAGTTAAGGGGCTGGTAATGTCACTCATTTAGGTAGGGCATTTGCCCAGTGTATGTGAAGCCCTGGGTTCCAGCAGAGAATAAACCAAGCATGGTGATGCATGCATGGACTCCCAGAGCTTGGGGGATGGAGGCAGTAGGGTCAGAAGTTCAAGTTCATCCTCTGCTCTATATCAAGGTAAGGTCGGCCAGGTCTACATGGGACCCTGTCTCAATAAACTAAAACAAACAAACAAAGGAAGTGTAATGAAGGCGGCACAGAGAGTGGATGACAGATCGGTGACCAGAATCGATAATGCTTAATTTCTCGTTTGGTGCTCTCTGACTTTCATGAACCTATGGCCTACACCTTACACCTATGGGGAAAGAACTTGAGTACACTCTCACAGAGCCAAGTGCCAGCCAGTGGGTGGAATTATACTGTAGCCTAGTGAAATTTGAAAAGGAATTCTATTTTTCAAGAACTTGATTCCTTGAGGTAGTCGAATAGTGAGCGATAACGTCACGCTTACAGAATTATCTGGCCTGCTGCTCTTTTGTAATCGCATGTAGAGACATCATGAGTTAAAATGACTGTTGAATTGTCTTCTTTTTATTTTAGGCCACCACACCATCTATATTGGGGTCCATGTGCCCAAGAGCTACCGGAGAAGGAGACGTCACAAGAGAAAGGCAGGGCACAAGGAGAAGAAGGAAAAGGAAAGGATCTCTGAGAACTACTCAGACAAATCAGATGTGGAAAATGCCGACGAATCCAGCAGCAGCATCCTCAAGCCACTCAGTGAGTAGTCTCGGCTCAGCATTGCTCTGCCTCACTCATCCCTGGAAAGACGTTTTCCGGATTCTCGCGGCCAATGTGGAGGGAGTCGGGGATGCTGGGGTTGTGTGTTTGATGGGGAAGGTCTGTGGACATGCTTCTCTCATGCTGACAAGTTGATCTAAGAGCACGTGTGGAGGATTCTGAGTTGATGGGGAAAGTGCAGGCACAAATGGCAGTTCTTCACCCTGATCCGTGAGGTAGGGCAGAGCTGCACAGATGATACACAATTTAACCACGTTAGCCAACAGTTAGAGGCTCTTTGGGTTGCTTCTGCATAGGGGTAGGTTCTACTGAGACAGTAGGGTAAGGTGAGGGTGCATGCATGTGTATGATCATGTTGCAGATGTCACCGTCACGGTGATGTTTAGCTGGATTGCGGGCGAGCTCAGGGATGTAAAGAGGAGTATCAGGGAAGTGCTACACAGTGCTGAGAGGAACTTTGAGTAGCACAGCTTGATAAAGGTTGAACATCGTAGATTTCGTGCATTGTATAAAATGTTAAGATGGAATCTCAGGAGAAGAAAGGACACCCTTGGACTCAAGTGTCAAGTAGACTGTGGGTTTAGGCATATGTCTGTGCTCTGCTGTGTTTGCTGAGTGTGGAGACGCTTCAGTATATGGGAAGCCGTTTGGCTGGAGCAGGAATGAATCTGCACGGCAGAAACACATGCTAGTTGTGGAAGGTTTCCGAAGAGGACTTTCTTAGTGACAGCTTTCATGCTGGCAGAGCTCTGTGCATTCTTCATCGCTTGCAGAAACCCAGACCCTGTAATAAAATGCATTATGGGTGGCACAGATAAAGATCAAGTTCAAGTCATTGCAGGTGATGACAGGCCAAATTAGAATGAACAGCTCAGGGGTGTTGAAAAGTGAATTTACAGCATTAAATGAAAGAGGGTGTGAAGTGTACTGATGTGAGTCTTGTTGGAATGGAGCAGGTGGCTTAGGAAGCCAGACAAGCCTTGTTCTAAGAGGTGCACCACAGATGGGCCACAGGATTAATATTAAGTGGTGCAGAATTTGGATATGAACTTCTAAACTGAAAAGGGAATAGAGTAAGTGTGAGATGTAAGGAAGAATAGAAGAAGACAGGTGACTAAAGCTATGTTTCTTTCTTTTTTTCCCATTGGAATGTCAGGGGGATGTGTATGGTTTTTTTTTTTTTTTTTTTTTTTTTTTTGCAAATCCTTTTTCTAAAGGGATTCTTCATGACATATCACCCAAAATAATAGTATCTGTTTTAAGCCAAGTCCTTGAAATCCATATAAAATGGCTTACAACTGGTGGCTTGGAAAAAAAAAAAACAAACACATAATATCCCCTTCCAAATAGATTACTATAGTTTCTCGGTATTCACTGTCTATTTTGAAACCAGTCAGTATCAAAGAGGGCCTCTGCTGAGCACATTTGAGAGAGGTCTCTTCTTCTCCCCTTCTCAGTCCCTCCTCTCCTATCCTCTCCCCTTCCTTCCCCCCCTTCCCTCCTCTACTCTCCATTCCTTTTCCCTCCCCTCTCTTCCTTGAACCATCTTCCTTCTCTTTTTTTCTCTCCTTCCCCTCCACTTTTCTTTTCTCTCTCTTTTAAAGACATATCTCATTTTTTTCAGTTAATAACAAGAGTGTGTTGTTACTATAATAAAAGGAGAGAGAGAGATGTTCACCTAAATGAAAATGCCAAGGAATTTAGAGGTGATGGTGTACAGACATTTTTGGAAAGGCAATGCAAATAGCCCTAGTAGCACTCAGGTAAGAGAGACTTAGCTAAATGTGTGCTAGTCATGGGATGCTGTTGCTCTCTGGCATTCTGGGAGTGATCTGAGAACAGCATACAAAAGAAGTGATATAATTTGTCCTGAGGGACAATCCTCAGAGGTCTCTTCCTGGGTTTATTTTATGTCTTAAGCCAGATTTTGGAAACGTAGACATGCTATGGACCAATTGTTCAATAGGTGTTCTCATGCAGCCCAAGTTGGCTTTGAGCTTGCTTACTTGCTATTTAGCTAAAGAGGACTCTGAACTTCTGTTCCTTCTGTTTCTACCCTTGAGCTGGGATTACAGGCCTGCCCTGTTTTATGTGATACTGGGCATCAAACTGAGGACTTTGTATGTGCCAGCCAAGCACCAAATGAATTATAGCCCTAGTCGAAGGATTTTCTTTCTTTCTTTTTTTTTTTTTTTTTTTTTTGACCTCTTTACCTCCTGCTGGTCATGAAATTTTTTTGGCTTTAGTCATCCAATTTGATGTGAAGGTCCTCTTTACAAACTGCCATCAGCTTCTCTGCTGCTTAGTTTGGAGGATAGGTAGACTGGGAATTGCCTGGCCTGGTGTAGTTTTTGAGAGTCAATACATGTGCATTCAAATACAGAAAGGCTGGCACCAGTGTGCCAACCTTTTTATAAAGAAGTGCATACAGGAAATACGTGTCTCCTGTGTTTCATTGTTGTCTCTCAAGAGTGGTCATGTCTTGACTTTAAGCCTTCTGGGTTCCTTACATCTAAACACCCTTCTTGTCCTTTGTGTCCTGAAGACAAGATGCTTACACGTGCTGGGAATCATGAGTTAGTTGTATTTTTTGAGGAAAGAAACCAAGCAACTGCCAGATAAGTAGTAACTTGATGAGAGGGATCCCTGAGTCTTACTCTGCGTTCACCTCCACAGGCAGCTCTGTTGGCTCTCTGTATAGACTCTGTCCGACCTTGTCCACTTTTCAGCCTGGCTGCCCTGGTTTGGCCCAGGGCATGGCTATGTCTTGTTTTGCCTCAAAGTCTTTCTCCGCTCAGAGGCAGCATTGGTTGTGGTGAAGTATGAGCCAGGTCATGTCATTGCTGTGCTGACGGTCTCCTGTTGATCTTACAGCAGAACCTGTGCTGTGCATTCTGGCACACAGCGTCCTTCCAGCTGGCATCATGCCATCCTCTTTTCACTCACTCACCTCATTTCGATCATGCTGATGTTAATGGTCCTTGCTTCCAAGCTATTTCCCTACTCCAGAGTCTTTGCATGTACAACCCCAGCTTTCTGGACTGGCCATACCATTCTTATCTCCATTGGCTTTCCCCTTTCTTCATCTTCCATTCTTAAAATGCCGCATCTGCAGAGGGGCCTTTCTGGCTCCCCAGTGCTGCTTCCTCAGTGTTAGGGTTCTCCTGCCCCCATTTCTTTCCTTCCTGGTACATGTTTCAACTAGCACTTTTATTTTGAGTGACTGTTAGATTGTAAGTTCAACGACTGCAAGGGAGGGTGAGGTGTCTTGTTCTTATTCTACATCCAAACAGTGTTTAATACACGCTCACTGAAGAATATTTAAATGATTGGGTCACTCAGGAGGGAAAACATGAGCGCTGCTTTTATTGTTCCGGTCTCTACCACATCCTAGGTGAAGAGCCAGCTGATTTTCTTGTGTTCAGTCTCAGCACATCATCTTTCTGCCTTGCCTCGCTCCGCTGCCATGTAAAATCTCACACGGACTTTTAATTATTCCACTTTGGAAAGTGCCTCATTATTTCCGCTGTTGCCAGAATGGTGTTTTGTTCTGAGGAGGTGACTCCCAAATGTGTAGTATTACCTGTTGGCTGTAGGTGATGGAAGAAATTGATCCACAGGGCACATACATCCATCACGTATACATAAAGATGCCCATCAATACACATGGAAGCAAGGGAGCTCTGCTCAGAAGCCACTGACAGGAAGCCCAGAACTGTGAACCTTCAAGGTCACTGCTAAGGAGAATGAGCCATAGGTTTGCCAATATCCAGGCACATTGAGAAGATGACATAATTGACAGGTTCATTCAGCTTAGAACTGACATGCGTTTTCTCTCTCCCATCACTTCTGGGATCAAGATAGAGTTCCTAAAAAGTTGCTGTGTGTTTCAACCTTACATGTTTGGAGCTGTGAGGATGAGGCCCGTTGGCTTCAGACCCATCCGAAGCTCCGCGGCCCCCAAGGCTCTCTGTGACTCCTGTAAAGAGTCATGCGTGGTGTCAGAAGTGATGTCCCAGCTGGGGATACAGAGAAAGAATCTCGTGTGTGATTGTGGCACACTGCAACGGGGAGAATGGGGCTGGGAAGAAAGAAAAGTGATGTGAGGAACAGGCAGGAGGAGAGACAAGAGAATGAGGAGGTGGCACGGAGTGGGTGGTGGAGAGAAAAGTTAGATTGTGCTCCTTCTTAAAAATAACCCTTTTACCTCCTCCTCCACCATGCACTTTTCCCCCCCCTAAGTTAGCAGCTGCCATCCTCCTAGGCGTGCTCAGAATGCAAGGGAAAGATGGTCCTGGCTGCTGGGCTCCTGAAATCCAGCTCAGCTCCCCACTATGAATGGCTTCTGCCTCCACGCTTCACATTTTGTCAGTGCCCTGCAAGGTTCCTTAGGAGCCATGCTGTAACTTCAGGGTCTGCAAAGTGGTGTCCTGTCAAATGTCAGGAGACACAGGTACCAAGATACAGGTACACTGAGCATCACGCTCAGTGTCTCGACGTGCCATGTGGCATGTTTCTGGACCCGCCGGACCCTGTGTCAGCGCTGAGGTACCAGCTGCCTCCCATCTGCAGGTCTGCCCAGGATGGCTGCACGGTGCTCGGTCCGTGGGTGTGGACGGACAGTCTTGTGTTCTTTTCTAACTCTTTGGATGTGTACCAGCATGGACGGATTTATGCTAGTGGACATTGTTCTGTGAGCCAGGGACAATGGATGCCAGTTGGTGATCCAGCTACATTCAGGAAACGGAAACAGAGAAACGGGCAGTTGCTTTTGTCTGGGGCATCCGGGTAAATGAACAGAGAGGCTTTTTACCAGAGCCAAGAATATTTGGTTTTTGCCACTTGACTTCCCCGTTCCCAGCACAGCCCTGTGCCCTTCTTCAGCCTGACCATGTACTTTCTTGCCATATTTCTACTTTTTCTTCATTTTTCCTTTCTTTTTTCGTTGTAATGTTTTTAGGCACGTTCCTTAATTTTGC